TCAAAAGTTATAGGCATTTTTCTAAGCGAAAAATAGCTGTAAGTTAACGTTTTTCCCATCAAATTTCAATTTTTTCTCAAAACCAACATCATATTTCGAATCAGCGTTTAAAACTGCATTGAACAATCTTTATTTCCGAATTTTTAGACAAGTTTGATTTTTTTCGAATTTTTCGACCGAAATTTTTGCTGAAAAAACAAAGTTGTCTAAAAATTCGGAAATAAAGATTGTTCAATGCAGTTTTAAGCGCTGATTCGAAAAATGATATTGGTTTTGAGCAAAAATTGAAATTTGATGGTGAAAACGTTAACTTACAGCTATTTTTTTCGCTGAGAAAAATGCCTATAACTTTTGAAGGAAAAACCATCGGCCCGGATCCTTTTTAGCTTTTTACAACCTCGATATCCTCTATCTATCGATGTATGAATGAATAAAAACGGAGAGGTACATGTCCATAGATTTCCTCTTTAGAATACGAATATTTTTAAAGTTTTCTTTGAACTTTCCAAGTTATTCCTAGAATCTGGACGACCTGTTACCCGATTTCTCTTGGGCAGATCATGCAGCTTTAGACGATGTTTTTCTCTGAACTTTCTGTTACTGTACAGTGTTCTCGTAAAGTATCTGTGAAACAGTATAGAGAATCTCAATGAATAAATTAGAGGCTCCTTGAAGAAAAAAAATTTGAGAATCTGCTTGTCAGAGTTCTAAAGGAAGTATCTCTGACGGCCTACGTGGCTGTGAGAAACTCTTCTCCAAGCGACAGTTTAACAGTTTGTCTAATCACAGTCGATCTCACAATCTCTATGTTTTCAGATTCCTCACCTCGAGCGAGATCAGGATCAGCTATTGCGTCGATATTTTCTTTTTCATTATCACTATTTTTGTCCGGTTTTTGATTTGATTTTTTCACTGATGATCTTTTCGTCGATGACTTTTTTAAACGAACATCATTTCCTAACGGAGTATTTATTTCGTTCAATGTTAATTGTGCATTCGTATAACTGCTTAATTTTTTTAGTGTTGCGGCTGTTGTTATTAAGCGTTTCGAGTCGTGTTTTGTGGTGTTGATTGTAGCATGTTGGATGTACTCAATCTAGAACAGTGACAAGAGAAAAACCATGTTACTAGTCAACCGTTTGAAGCCTTACTAAACTTTCCCGTGCCAGCTACCCAGTTTCTGTTCAGTTTGTTAGGAGTGAGTTGTAGAATATTATGTTTGCTAGTCATTGAAGTAAGACAGTTTCATGTTTCTCTAAATCCGATTATCGGACAAAGTCCTATCCTACAAAAAACAAAATAAAAAAATAAAAATAACAGCAGACAATTAAAAAATTCGAGCATACGGAAATAACATTACATAAAATTCATCTTTCAGAGAAAAAAGTCTAAGACACCAGACATAAGATAAAGTTGACAGTTCCACATAAAAAAAATGATGCATTACGAGCACTTGAAATACGTTTAAATTTTTGATAAAAGATTTACACTGTAATAACTGAACTTTACAAATCAATTTTTTGTTTTGAATAAAAAAACGTGAAATTTGACCAAAAATCGGTTTTTCTGACAAGACTGTTTTGTTTAGAAGAACAACCGTACCGTTCTCAAATGATATTCGATTCCATTCAGGTTAACGGTATTAGCAGAAAAAAGTGGTTCATTCACAGAAAATGGATGATTATCAGTTAGATTTGTAATGTTCTGTGGCTGTACCTGAGAAACTGTATAACCTTTATCAAAAACATTCTCGACAGGAAGTCCGCTAACGTCATGCATAGCCATTGCATACCATTCTTAGTGACGTTTCGCAGCTGTAAAGGCAATATTCGAAAAGTTATGCCAGTTGATATGTTTAAAAAAAGTGTGTTTTCTTTCGAAACAGAGCACACAATGAAATCGAGTTGGTCCACAATGGCGTATTTGTGGTAAAAGAAGAAGTAGCAGAAGAAATTTAGCGATTTGTGAATTTGTACCATAAGCTCTCGCACATAGTTCATTGTGCAGCTCTGTTGCATCGTTGAGTTGCACTACCATTTGGGCATCCGCTTCAGACGCAAAACATATGCTAACAATATTATGTAAAAGAAGAAATAATTTCCATTCAGCTAGATCCAATACAGCGTCGAATCCGAACACTTCGAATTCGAACTATGATGTGTCCAAATTCGAACTGCGATCTACACTTTACTGTAAATGTTTAGAAAAAACATTTTTCCTTCAAGTTCGAATTCCGATACACCATACTTCGAGTTTAGAAAAAAAATTTTTCCTTCATGTTCGAATTCGAATTCGGATACATCATACTTCGAATTCGAATTGTGGTATACACTTTACCGTAAAAGTTTAGAAAAAAAATTTTTCCGTGAAATTCCACTTCGAATTGCAATCTACACTTCACTGTAAAAGTAAAAAAAAAAAATATTATAAAGCTTTTAATCACCTCGAAAGGTTCCATCGTGAGTGCAATGTGTTTTCCTGAAAGTATGTATTTTCTATTACCTATCAAAAGTCGTCTGCTGGAGAAGTTTTCATAAGTACGAAATACTTGGAGAATAACTTGTAAACAATATACAAAAAAGTTCTTTTTCTCCAATTCACCAACTATGCGTTTTTAGAGCAAGAAGTAAAAATAAAAGCACTTCGGTTGATCAATATCTAGCATATATGGTAAAAATATCACCGACCTCGGCGAAAAAATGCATGAACCCATGTTTAAATTATACTTGTAGCATGAGAATGTTTACCAACGCATCTAAAAATGAACGCGTGCAGACACGTTAAAAAGCATGTACGACTTTGTAGACGTGTAGAAACAAAAAGCATCAATAAATTCATCCAAAACAATTAAGGGTAGCGCTATTGCCACTCTCTGAGGGTGTCAATAAGAACTATTGTCACTCGCTGAGAGCGGCAATAAGAGTTATTGCCATTCTCTGAGGGTGTCAAAACGAGTTATCATATTTTAACTTATGAGTGTAAGTTCCCATACGGTATATGAATTTTTTTGCATTGAAGTTCTAACGATGTTTCCCCTAAGGAGCAACTGGTTATTTGTCTTGTGATTCAATGTGGTTTTGCATTCGTTTTCCATTACCTTTGTACGCACAACTGGTTGCATTTGTGAGACTATCACTGAAAAAGTGTAATATATTGATGTGGGCTTGCTGTACTCTCATCGACAATACACGAGAATACACAAACGTAAGAATTTCCCACGTGCAACTTCGAATTTATTCTCACGAAATGTTGCATAGTGGCTCACTCTCATGCTGCACCTCCTCCCCCCTCCCCGACCGCGACACTATATTCTCGTGTATTGTCAATGAGAATCTACCAAGCCCACCTAGTTTAAAAAAAATAGCCGTTTTTTGAGAATACACTGCGTACTGATATTCTGACATTTCAGAAGAATAGCGTAGTATCCTGCAATTAGAACTTTAGAGAATGAATTTATGAAACATTTATGGATGACAGATAGCTAAAGCCTTTAAAACCTTTAAGCTAGATAGCTAGCTTGTTAGAGCTTTGTTAGTTCTGCTGATGTTTATAAACAATGCAAGCCACTAACAATTCAACTCTGATTCACGCCGACCTCCGCAACATCAATAATCAGTTGTGCCGAAGAGAAAACATCCTTAGAACTTCAATGCAAAAAAATTCATAAACCGTATGCGAACTTACACTCATAAGTTAAAATATGATGACTCGTTTTGACACCCTCAGAGGATGGCAGTAGCGCTACCCTTAATTGTTTTGGATGAATTTATTGATGCTTTTTGTTTCTACACGTCTACAAAGTCGTACATGCTTTTTAACGTGTCTGCACGCGTTCATTTTTTAGATGCGTTTGTAAACATTCTCATGCTACAAGTATAATTTAAACATGCGTTCATGCATTTTTTCGCGCGAGGTCGGTGATATTTTTATCATATGTGCTAGATATTGATCAACCGAAGTGCTTTTATTTTTACTTCTTGCTCTAAAAACGCATAGTTGGTGAATTCGAGAACAAGAAATTTTTTGTATATTGGTTAGAAGTTATTCTCCAAGCATTTCGTACTTATGAAAACGTCTCCAGCAGACGATTTTTGATAGGTAATAGAAAATACATACTTTCAGGAAAACACATTGCACTGACGAGGGAACCTTTCGAGGTGATTAAAAGCTTTTTGATCGACATCTCGTGGATTACAGGTCGGGTGGCTGAGAGTAAGCAACTAACACACATCCGGTCCGAAATCAAACTAAAAAAGAATTTAAATTCGATATCTTGCAGAATCCCAGTTCCAATTCGAAGCTCGACGAAAAACTTTTTATTTCGAAACAGTTACAGTTACAAATTCCTCCCAATCCGGATTCAATATTTGGTAGAATCACAATTCCAATTCGAACTCTGCACAAAACTTTTATTTTTTTCAAACTTTTACAGTAAAGTATTCATCTCAATTCGAGTTCGATTTCTGGTAGAATCCCAGTTCGAATCCGAACATGAAGGAAAATTTCTTTTTCTAAACTTTTACAGTAAAGTGTAGATCACAATTCGAATTCGACCATGAAGAAACTATGATGTATCCTAATTCGAATCCGAACATGAAGGAAAATATTTTTTCTAAACTTTTACTCTAAAGTGTAAATGACAATTCGAATTCGAATTTGAAGGAAAATATTTTTTAGTTCGCCATAACATTCCATTATATTCTTTACAGTAAAAGTTTAGAAAAAAAAATATTCCGCTTCAAATTCGGATTCGAATGGCGATCTGCACTTTACAGTAAAAGTTTAGAAAAAAAACTTTTCCTTCATGTTCGGATTCGAATTACGATACATCATAGTTCGAATTCGAAGTCTGATCTGCACTTTACTGTAAAAGTTTAGAAAAAGAAATTTTCCTTCATGTTCGGATTCGAACTGGGATTCTACCAGAAATCGAACTGAAATTGAGAGGAATACTTTACTGTAAAAGTTTGAAAAAAATAAGAGTTTTGTGCAGAGTTCGAATTGGAATTGTGATTCTACCAAATATTGAATCCGGATTGGGAGGAATTTGTAACTGTAACTGTTTCGAAATAAAAAGTTTTTCGTCGAGCTCGAATTGGAACTGGGATTCTGCAAGATATCAAATTTAAATTCTTTTTCAGTTTGATCTCGGACCGGATGTGTGTTAGTTGCTTACTCTCAGCCACCCGACCTGTAATCCACGAGATGTCGATCAAAAAGCTTTTAATCACCTCGAAAGGTTCCCTCGTCAGTGCAATGTGTTTTCCTGAAAGTATGTATTTTCTATTACCTATCAAAAATCGTCTGCTGGAGAAGTTTTCATAAGTACGAAATACTTGGAGAATAACTTGTAAACAATATACAAAAAATTTCTCCAATGCTTTATTCTCACGAAATGTTGCATAGTGGCTCACTCTCATGCTGCACCTCCTCCCCCCTCCCCGACCGCGGCACTATTTTCTCCAATTCACCAACTATGCGTTTTTAGAGCAAGAAGTAAAAATAAAAGCACTTCGGTTGATCAATATCTAGCATATATGGTAAAAATATCACCGACCTCGGCGAAAAAATGCATGAACCCATGTTTAAATTATACTTGTAGCATGAGAATGTTTACCAACGCATGTAAAAAATGAACGCGTGCAGACACGTTAAAAAGCATGTACGACTTTGTAGACGTGTAGAAACAAAAAGCATCAAAAAATTCATCCAAAACAATTAAGGGTAGCGCTATTGCCACTCTCTGAGGGCGTCAAAACGAGTCATCATATTTTAACTTATGAGTGTAAGTTCCCATACGGTTTATGAATTTTTTTGCATTGAAGTTCTAAGGATGTTTCCCCTAAGGAGCAACTGGTTATTTGTCTTGTTATTCAATGTGGTTTTGTATTCGTTTTCCATTACCTTTGTACGCACAACTGGTTGCATTTGTGAGACTATCACTGAAAAAGTGTAATATATTGATGTGGGCTTGCTGTACTCTCATCGACAATACATAAGATTTCAGTTTTTTGGTAACGGCTTGTAGAAAATGGAAAAACCACGCCTGATGAACAACATTGCTGAACTAAATATAAAAATATACTTTTGTACAGAACAGTCAAGGCAATATCCTCCCTTACCTCACTTCGTAACATTTCAATAAGCCCACTTTCAAAGTCACTTATAATTCGTTTAGGTCTCAGTTTCA